AGCATCTCACCACCATTAAAAAGGCTTCTTTCAGCATCCTTCAGCACAACAGAAATGGGACTACTGCCTCTGCCTGTTTCCAGGCTGCAGGATGTCAGCCAGCCTGGTCTGAGGGCTAGAAAGTGGCCAGAGCTTTTTTTCCCCTGGATAAGAAAGCATGTTCCTCTCCCAGCTGAAGCAGCGTCCTTCCAGCATGGGGCAGGCTCGGGATGCGATGGGGAAGAGGCTGCCTAAGAAAAGGAGGCAAAACCCTCGGGGTTTTGCTCAGCTCTGAGCTGGAAAAGATGCTTCAGATCTCAAGGAAGAAAACAAGCAACTGGAGTTTCTATTTCAAATCATCCTAACAAAAAAAAAAAAAAAGAAAAAAAAGAAAACCTCAGGCAAAACCATCCAACAGGGAAAAAGGGAGAAAAAAAAATAACCCAACCCCAAAACAGTAAGACTCCAATTACCACTTGTAACCATCCAAGCAGCTGGCAAGGGCGGTGAGGACAGAGTCCAGCAATGCCACAGTGTCACCCCGGGGCTGCAGCCCACTGGGGGAGGGGGTCCCATCCTCTCACATTCCCAGTGCCCAGGGCCCGGCCATCCCCACGGATGGAGCCTCCTGCCCCCGCTGCCCACCTGCCAACCAGCTCTCCCCCCGCCCACCCGCTGCCCATCAGTTCTCTCCCGCCTGGACGTACTCCTCGGTGGCCTTGGAGAGGGTGCTGAGGTACTGCCAGCTCAGGGCTGCCAGGAGCATGGCACAGGACAGGTAGATGGGGGAGTAGTGGTGCCGGGATGCCATGGAGCTGCCGGGCAGGCTCATGGCGCGGATGGAGGCGATGACCTGCTGCGTCTTGTTGGAGGAGGGGTCGGTGCTTGGGATCTTCTGGTAGATCTAGGGAAGGAGGAAACACAGGAGCTGTGGTTTCCACGCGAAGGTGAGGAGAGAAATGGGAACACTGGGTGGAAGAGGAAGGTTTAAGGGCCACCGTGTCCTCAAGAGCAACCCTGGTGGTGGTGGACTGCCACAGAGCACGGGATGCCTGGATGGGTCCAGGGAATCTCCCTTGGGAAGTGCACTAAGCCAAGCTGCCTCTTGAGGGCACCCCATGACGGGACATGGACCACACAGATCCCTCAACCACCAGGGGAAGTACTAGGACCAGTGGTTTTCACCTTGCAATCCTCGCTCACTGCACACGTGCTGCAGCCCACCTAAAACCAGAGGGGAGACCTCAGCGTGTGACTGCCTGGAAACAGCCACATCCATCAGCTAATTCCATGGTCTTTTGGGCTTTCTCTTCAAATCCCAAGGCATTTGGGATACGTGTCTGCATGAGTCTTAGCAAGGTGGGCGCAAGCAGAGCCACAAGGCCAGGCCAGCCCACAAGGGGAGCTCTAATAGCCCATGGTTTGGGGTCTCCCTGGTATAGAAATGCTGTCCTTTTACTTAACAGCTCCCATTGGATTTGCTTTCTGGGGAGTGGGGTGGGTTTTTTTTCCCATGAAACCACTCAGTAGTTGTTCCTCCACATGAATTTTTAACCTCCACAAGACCTTAAAGTAGGGAGTAAGAAGGTGCCCCCTGAGCCTCTTTTCCTCCAGGCTGACCCCTCCCAGCTCCCTCAGCTGCTCCTGGTGCTCCAGCCCCTTCCCCTGTTCCATTCCCTTCTGTGGACACACTCTAGCCCCTCCATGTCTTTCTTGTCCTGAGGATCCCAAAACTGATCTCACAATTCAAGGTTTGGCCTTACCAGTGCCCAGCACAGAGGGACAATCACTTTCCTGGTCCTGCTGCCACACTGTGGCTGACACAGGCCAGGATGACACTGGCCTCAGTCTCTACTTCTCATCAGAGGCCCAGACCAAGGGTATGTTCAAGGGAACACATCCAGCACTCAGTTTGGTCCAGGCCAAAACCACATTCCCTGCCAACCACTGAGCTAAAGGATACAAGGAAAGGACTAACAGAGTCACCACGCGTGTTCCCAATTCCACACCAAGAACGGGCACAGGAACAGCCAGAAATTACTCAAAGCCAGCTGCTGAACCCACCTCTTCCACATACTGGTACATGATGGCTTTGACAGCTTGTATGTTGGTGGCATCCATCATGAGGGTGACGGCCTGTCCCTTCCGGATCTTCACCACGCCCCGGAACACCTGCTTGTTGTTGTAGCAGGCAGCCAGTGTGGCAATGGCCATCACCTAAGGAGACACATGGAGAGCCTTTACTGCACTGTGAGGAACGTGCCAAGAGCTCACCTTGATTTTAGCGACATTAAAGGTAAGACACTGGAATGTAGCCACAATCTCACACCAAGGGCAGAAGTGGTAGGTACCGGGAAAGAAGGAAGAGATGGGAGAATAAAACAGGCTAGAAAAGCATGATCCATAAACTCCGTCACCTCCAGCTTCTGACCAGATGGTGAAGAACCACTTGAAAGCAGAACTCACCTGGGGGATGGCGCAGAAGTTGAAGACACTTTGGTTTTTCAGGCGGGACAAGTAGGTGAGGACGTCGGGGACGTGGTGGAGGGCGTTGGTGATGAGCTCGTTCAGACACTGCACGGCCATCTCGATGTTTTCTGGCTTGGCGAGGTCCGAGAGCTTCTGTGCGTATCTGCTCCAAACCTACACACCAAGACAGGGGCTCAGGAGCTGGAGGGGACATTCATGTCGTGGGAGAGACATCAGGAACAGCCTGAGGTGTGGCAGAGCAACGGGAAGCACCGGAGACCCACGAGAGCCTTGAAGCACTACCAGGATAATGGAAAGCAGGAAAGGCAGGCTTTGGAGTTGTGACAGTGGCCTTGGTGGATACAAAGGGCTTGTAAAGGAGGATGAACTCATCCCCACATCTTCTCTAGGCAGGGCAAGGAAAAGACGAGTCACACATCAGGCTGACACAGAATCACAGAATGGTTTGGGTTGGAAGGGACCTTAAAGCTCATCTTGTACCACGGGCAGGGACACCTCCCACTAGACCAGGTTGCTCCAAGCTCCCTCCAACCTGGCCTTGAACACTTAAACATCAAGAAATGCTCTTTAAGACAGGTGAGCCACTTAGAAAAGGGACAGAAAAATTCTTGGAGGATCTCAAGACAAGGAGACAAGCGGCTGTCAGGCACAGGCAGAGCTAATCCTGCCTTTGGGAGCAGACCAGGTACCCTCTCGAGGTCTCGCTCAGCCTTATCCTCCCTCATTCCTACAGCCAACCTAACAGAGAGGAGAAAAAGCTGCCCAACAAGCTCTTGGCAGTGTGGGGAGGCATCACCTCGTCCCTTCATGTGTACCCAGAGAGCTGTGGACAGATGTGGAACTTGTCAGCCAGCTGTCCTTAGAAGAACCGTTGTTACAGAGAAGATGCACAGCCAACAGCAGTGATTTTATGAGGTTTTCCCTCACCTCTCTGGGCCAGAACTCCCTTCCTTCCATCTGGTCCTCCAGATAGTCACGGATGATGTTGGTTTTCTGCAGGAAGAGTCCCATGGAGTTCGCCAGCTCCGTGTCCTGCCCCACAATTGAATCTTCCAGCTCTGATGCAGAGAAGAGACGGGAAAGGCCGATCCCCACCAGCCCAGCAACGTAGTGACAATACTGTGAGGTGCCAGGTTGGGAAAGGGTGGAAAGAAACAAGAGGAAAGGAGCAGTTAGAAAGAGCTGCCTGTTTGCCACAGGGAGTTTTACAAAAAAGATGCTCAGAAGGAATTGACAGTTGAATTTTATACAAGTTCTCATGGCCCTCCCTGGGTTGTCTCAGCTTTGCCATGAAAACAAAACCTTTTCCCAGGCACCTCACCAGGGATGTCCCACCAAGGTGTCCCTCTGTCTCCAACAGACAAATAAACTGCCCATGGGGGAACAACTGATGTGATGGGTCACCCAAACCGCGTGCTGGTGGGCAATACCAAAAATCCACACCATCCTCCTGTCACCCACAGGACCAGCAGACTCTCAAAGCCTTCCCAAGCCCACACAGCCTCCCTCATCCAGCTCAACCCTCTTCCCACAGGGATGCTCTGTCTCCTCTTTCCATGGAGACACAGTGGACCCTCCATGAAGTGCTCTAAAGATGTGTGGATGTGGCACTTGGGGACATGGTTTAGTGGTGACCCTACCAGTGCTGGGAGAATGGTTGGACTTGATGATCTTAGAGGGCTTTTCCAACCTTAATGATTCCATGATTCTACTCATGTTCAGTCCACTCCTCTGTCCACGCTGACTCACCTTATCCCATTCATGCTGAGAGTCCACTTTTTTCTCCAAGAACTCTGCCATTCCAACACCCATCTTGTGGCAAATATCCGAAATCACATCCTGGTAGACCTTTGACAGGTTCCTGAACTCCATGGAGATCTGGAGCACGGTTAAAAAAAAAAAAAAAAAAAAGGACAGCGTCAGGAAAAAACAGTTTTATTAAAAAAAATCAGAAAAATACTGTTTATCAGGCTCTAATCCTGCCCTGGCTGGAGATCTGGGACAACTCCCCCAGCCAGAGTTGTTTCAAGGTCCTTGGAGCACAGGCTCCGTCTGTTCTCAGTCTAAACGGGACGGGCTCTGGAGGGAGATCAGACACAGCAACATCTTGGGGAAGGCTCTGTGGCCTTGGACTGGTATCATCTGGGAGCTGCAGGACAAAACTAACTACACTCGGTGCAGAGAGTTGTTTTCTTTTGTAATTTGAGCACATCCATCGCACCAGCCATGGGAAAAAAAAACAGGGAGGTTTGTGGTGCTCTGTTCTCCTGAGCTCTCTCCAGCTCTGGCTTCACAAGGCACATTTCACACCAAAAAAAGGCACCAAGCAATGGAGGAAGTGTGAAATCTCTCTTTTGCATGTCCAGTAACATGGAGTCACACAACGGTTTGGGCTGGAAGAGAGCTTAAAGGTGATTTAATTCCAACCCCCCTGCCATGGGCAGGGCCACCTGCCAGGTCCTCGAACACTCTCACACTGCAAAAAAAAGTTAAAATTTCCATCCTTCCCTTCCCAATACTGTGGAGCATCACATCTTTTTGTGCTGAGCTTTATTCTCCCTCAGTGGGTAAGTGCAGCCAGCCCAGGGGTATGGGTATTAAGGACAGCAGTGTGAATGATTACAGCCCTGACACCACTGCAGATCCAGGTTTTCCTCCTGGCTCTTTCCATGGCTGCTGGCACATCCCTGCCCTGTGTCTCAGTCTGTCTGTAAAATAAATATTTCAGCTCTGCTTCTGCCTCAGTGGCTTCAACTCCCTACAAAGAGAAGCACAACCTGCAAATACCTCTACCAAATATTATTAGAAGTTTTTTCTATGAGAGTGGTGAGGCACTGGCACAGGTTTGCCCAGATAAGCTGTGAATGCACCCCAAAAACTCAAGGTCAGGTTGGGTGGGGCTTGGAGCAACCTGGTCTATGGAAGGTGTCCCTGCCCATGACAGGGGGTTGGAACCACATGAGCTTTAATGTCCCTTCCAACCCAAACCATTCTGCGATTTTATGTTCTGCACATTGAGAGTTCAATGGTTTGAACACGGCTAGACTTTCTAAATCAGCCTCCGGGCCAGAGAAAGGCCCCAGAACGCTGTGGCTTGCTTGGTCTTCCTTTTACAGGGATCCCTAGAGCAGTAACTTTGGGCAATATTGTTACCAATACCAGCGAGGGTGCTTTTTATCTTGTAGCATAGAATTACAGAATGGTTTGGGTTGGAAGGGACCTTAAAGATCATCTGGTTCCAACTCCCCCATCATGGTCAGGGACACCTTCCACCAGATCAGGGTGCTCAGAGCCCCATCCAACCTGGCCTTAATATGCACCTCAAAGATCTGCAGACACACTCCTGGAGCTCTGGAGCAGATCCTGCAGGATCACTGTGAACACCAGACAATCCACAAGCCAGGTGCCGGACAAGCCCTCCTTGTCTCCCAGCCCGTCAGGGCACACAGGACACCCAACAAACCCAAATCTTTCTCCACATTTACTTCTACCTCATTTACTTTTCCAGCAGAAGAGGCAACAAGCCACTTGTCAGAGCTGGCACTTCTCCACAGCCAGCTCACCTCTGACTCACAGAGCTGCACGAACGTTTGTGCTTCTCACTCCCGCTCAGCATCCAGCCCCACATGCTAGATGGAGCTCTGGGGAAGAGCTGTGGGACTGAACAAGCTCTGCAGGCTCAACATGGAGAGACAACCAGGCATTCAAAGGTGCCAAAAGGCAGCTGAAGCCAGGAGGATGATTCCTTACCGTTGGGAAGTCTTCCAGCACCTGCCGGTCCTTCTCCTTGCTCTCCATGTACTTCCACTCCGGCTGGTAGAGGTAGGAGTGGAACTCCTGCAGCATAGGGACCTTCACATCCAAGGGGATGCTCATGTCATCCTCTACAGTGTCCAGGGCACGGAGCACCAGGTAGAATATACAGACAGCATGTCTGGGAGGAGAGAAAAAAAACAGGAATTCCTTACTTGGGATTGCCTATTGGGCAGGATAAACAGCTGAGATGAACCACAGAGCCTTCAGCAGGAGCACTTCAAGCTCAGTATGACACACACTGGCATTGCCAGGTTGTTGATACCTTTGGAAGATACCAGCACACCTGAGCTGGGTCGGGAAATCCAGGTTTTTCCTTCTTGAGGAGAACTATACCTACCTAGCTTTTGGCTTTCTAAAATGCATATCAGGGAAGGGTCAGGCCTGTCATCTCCCTGAGAAGGGAAGATCCAACCCTGCAAGCAAAGAGGACCCAGAGGACAGAGCCTGAGGTCATTTTATTGGAAAAAGCAAATGTAAAATAGGGAAGGGGAAAAAAATCAGCTGTACTTTTCTCATCACTTCCCCTTCTCTGCACACAGCAGCCTTTTATCCTATTTTGGGGGCAGTAAAGGGGTGCCTCTTACTGTGCAACAGGAACATTAGGACTGGCAGAAAAAGGCCAAACTACCCTATCTCCATGGACAAGTCATTCAGGCCACCCCATGTGTCCCAGATGCTGGAAAGCTGCTTCCCCTCCCAGTCCCACTGCTCCTGCCTTCCCCTATTCCTGCTTCCTTTCCCACTCCCTGCCTTCCACAGCCCTGCCTCCACATTCCCACAGCAGAAGCAAAAAAAAAAGAAGTCCTGATGGCAGGAAATAGTGTTTCCAGCTCTGGGATCTATGTAAAATAATCCCTAGCTCTCCATGAGCACAGTGATATATCAAGGAGATGAAGCTTTATTAATTGTTCAACAAATGGGAACGAGCTTTGACTGCTTCAATGCTAATTACTTGGCGACAGTGTTGTACTCCTGGGATGACAATGTGCAAGCAGTGATTAGGCATCCAGGGAAAACTGACTTGCTCTTAAAGCCAGTGCTGTTAAATTTGGCTGGTTTTCCATGATTGAAGGGTATTTAACACCTCCATCAAACCACACATCTGAGGGCTCATAGCAGCTCTCTCATTCCTGTTCCTTTGCCTGAGTTTTTCCATTCTAACTGGGCTGCAAAGGTTCATCCAACAGAATCCAGGTGCCCAGGGCTCCAACCCAACTCCAGCAGCAACTTCCACCAGCAGCAATCAAGGAAGGCAGAGCAGAACCTGAAATGCCATCCCAGAAGCACCTCTCCCAGTGGCACCATGCCAAGGGAAGAGCCAGCAGTAATTCCAGAGGCCAGCCTAGTTAAACATTTATTTAACCCCACTTCTGCATCCAGAGCGTAACTGCATCCCTAACTTTCATCATATACAGAATTTAGATCCGTGGCAATTTTGGCAAGTTAAAGGAAGAAATTTATTACTGTGAAGGTGGTAAAGCACTGGCACAGGTTGTCCAGAGAGGTGCTGGATGCCCCATCCCTGGAAACATTCAAGGTCAGGCTGGATTGGGCACAGCTGGAAGCACCCACTGCCAAAGAGCAAGTCTGGATCATCTCAAGGCTCAAGCTCCAGTCCTGTCCTAGACACAGCTCCCCAGTTCCCAGGTAAGGAGGTCTCCTTTTTCCTCCCACCACATTCCCCTGTGACAGTCCAAACCTTCAGGGATGGATCCTGAAGGGTCTCGGGGATAGGCAGAACTGTGGGTCTGGCAGTGGGAGAAGGCAGGAGCATCCCTCTCCTCCTCTCCATCCCCAGGAGAGGAGCTATGACGTTGGCTCACACTCCTCTCCACCAGCAGTAGTTGAGATGTTGGCTCAGCTGCCCATGAAACTGCAGTTTTGAGCCTCCCACCTTCCAAGACAACGCCCTAACCACGGAGCAATGAGCTGGACAGTGCCCTGGCCAGCAAAACATGCAGGTTATGGGGCCAAAAAAAATAAGCAAGAAGGAACCAAACATTTCAGCTCAACTACTAGTACCCCCGCCTGGCCAGGGAAGCTCTGCTCCAAAGCACTCATCCTGAAGTTTTCTGTTTTCCAGCAGCCCTTCTGGGATGTATGTCTGTAACCACAGGGGTTCAACTGAACTTTTTTGATCCAGCAAAATTAACTCCTTTGGTAAGGTTGCTGCTCTGCCTATTTCTATATCCTCCCTATTTTGTATTTCCCTCTTTTGTCCCTAAATTCTCCAGCAGAGCTACTGTGCTTTGGAAATTAGAGCTTCTCCTGATCCACTACAGCACCACTGTAATTCAACCACCAGCCCTGCACAGCAGTGGGTTGCAAAGATCCTGCAAGAGCATTTTTAGGATGCCAGGCAGAAGTTTCTGTGCCCTGAAGGGAGGAAGCCTTCCTGATCCCAAGGCAAGGATTAAGGGACAAGAAAGACATGCAAATAAGATAACTGCAGGAAGATCAAGACATGCACAGGGCAGACCGACCCTGCTAACAGGTTAAATAGTGTTTTACTAATTGGTTTTTTTTTCCCTTAATTTCTGCATTAGCTAATATTACAAGCATGGAAAAAAAAAAGGTTTAATTCTTGGCCCCACTCGTACTTTTCCACACAATTCCAGCCAAACCACTGAATTTCTTTGCCTTTCCTGTAAACCAGGCTGCAGACACCGTTTCATATTTGTTGGACACAGCTATGGGGCACCATCCAAAATGCCAGACCAGGGCTCAGAATTCTAACAGATCACCCAGTGTTTGGGTTCAACTGCTCGGCAGAGCTGTGACGTGTCTGGTTCAACTTACAGAACCCCCTAATTTGATGATTAACCCACCTTGGGATTAACTTGGGATTTACAAACTGCAATCAGTAATTACCATATGAATATAAGGAATTATATGGAGAAAATTTATATGCACAAGGCCCCGGGCCAGCTGAGCTTTGCATCCTCTGTTATTATTCCCATCTGAAGCTTTCCCTACTATTCCCATCTGCTTTCCCTCACGGGGCAGCGAAGTTTGCACAGCAAAAAATGAGTGTGCCAATGATCCCTCTCCAGTGACTGGGCAGGTTTTGAGGCAGCTGCTTCCAAAAGCACCTTCCAGGCAGGGTCCAGACCCTCGGTCAGCCCCAGGTTTTTCCTCACCTCCTCCCTCTGGCTGGGCCGAAGGCCAGTGCCAGCCCTGGCACTGCCGGGACACATTCCCAGAGTGTCACACACAGCACACGGCCAGGCCCTGTGTTTAACAGTCTGCTGGCCAGGAAGCTGCAGTGCCTGTCCCAGGGCTTGCTCAGCCCAGGGACCCAGTCTGGGGGAGGGGGGATGCAGCACAGCCAGCTCGGACGTGAAAAACCCCACGTCCCGCTGCACGGGGTGGGGCTGAGCCCAGTGAGTCCAGTGAGTCTCCCGATGGGAGAGGGAGCATGTCCCAGCAGCTCTCCTAAGGAAAAATGGCATATGAGGGCACTGCACGGACCACCTCCTGCCAGCTCTGCCAGGGAGCCCCGGTACTGGGAGGTGTCACACCCACCAGCTCCGGGGGATCCCCAGTGTTGGGAGGCATCACACTCACCACCTCCTTGGGGAGACCCAGTGATGGGGAGGAGAATTACACCCATCACCTCCCGGGGATCCCCAGTGTTGGGGCGCATCACACCCACCACCTCCGAGGGAGCCCCAGTGCCGGGAGGTCACTGCACCCCCAGCCCCCCCTCCCCGGTACCCCAGCGACCCTCCTCTTACCGCAGCTCTCCATCCAGAGCCTGGATGACGGCGGCGAAGCTGCGGCTGGTCTGGTTGAGGTACCGGTAGCAGGTGCGGAGGCCACATCCCAGCGTGTCCTGCGGGCAGAGCGGGGCCCGGGGGGCCGGTTGGAGCGGGGGGGCGGCGGGCGGTGGGGCAGGGGGCGCCGGGGGGACCCCGCGCTGCTGCTGCCGCTGCTGCCCCCGCCGCCGGCCCGGAGCCCGAGGGGGGTTCCGCGGCGGGGACAGGGTCAGTGTCCGCCGGAGCAGCGACACGGCCCGGGACCCGGCCGCCATGGGGGCGCGGCGGTGGCGGCGGGGGGCTGCGGCCGCTCCGCCCCCGGCCCCAAACACGCCCCTTAACCCGCCCCGTCCCGTGGCCGGAGCCGCTGCCATGTACGGGCAGCACCGGGGCAGAGCATCGCTGGAAGCCCGTGGGATGCTCGCGGGGTACCAGGACTGTGCGATGGTTGGGGTTGATGCCGCGCACGGGCAGCACCGGGGCCGAGCATGATGCGCTCGCTGCCGGTGAGATGCTCGGAGGGTACCGGCACCGAGCGATGCAAGGGATGCCCGGAGCCGGTGGGAAGCACGCCGGTACGGAGCACCAAGTAATGCTTGGGAAGCCTGAAACAAGTGGAATGTTCGGAGCCGGTGGGATGCTCGGAGTGTACCGGCACTGAGAAATGCGTGGGAAGCCAGCAGCCGGTGGGATGCTCGGGAAGCATAAAGGCAATGCACAGGATGGCCGGGGCACGTGTGATGCTCCCAGGGCACCGGCACCGAGCAACGCAAGGGACGCCCGGAGCCGTGGAATGCCCGAGGCCGGTGGGATGCTCGGGAAGCACCGGGATACTGCGATGCCCAGCGTCAGTGCAATCCACGTAGGGTACCGGCAGTGAACAATGCAATGGATGCTTGGAGCCCGTGGGATGCTCAGAGCCGGTGGGATGCTCGCGGGGTACCGGCAGCGAGCAATACACGGGAAGCCTGAAACCGGCGGCATGCCTGGAGCCGGTGGGATGCACGCGGGGTACCGGCACCGAGCGAGGCACGGGATTCCCGAAGCCGGTGGGATGCCCGGGAGGCACCGAGGCCACACACAAGGCGCACAAAGCGGGTGATGCCCACCGGTAGCACCGGGGCCGGCCCTATGGACTCTGGGCCGTGCGGCGGTCACCCATGACAACGCCGCATCCCCGCCGGGAGATGACAGTTCCCCCCCCCCACCTCCCGTCTCCCGCTGCATCCCTCCGCCCGCGCATCCCTCCGCGCTCACCGGGTCGACCCGCGGCATGACGGTGCGGTAGCCGCCCATCTTGAAGCGCAGCAGGTTGTAGATGTCCTCGGGGTGGCCGAGCCATTTCCGCAGCAGCTCCATGGGGGCCCCGCTCGGTCCCCGCCGCCGCCGCCGCCGCTCCCGCCACCCCCCGCCCGCCGCTCAACCGGCCCTGGCCGGCCCCGCCCCCGCCGAGCCCCGCCGCCAATCACAGCGCCCCTCGCATGGCTCGGTGGGGCGGGCGCGGCGGCCATTGGCGGAGACGCGCTCGCACCAGCGCAGCGCCAGCCAATGGGAAGGCGGCCCGGCTGGTGTGACGGCCGGCGGCGGGCGCTGATTGGCTGCGGCGCGTGTGGGCACAGGCGGGGCGGGAAGGAACGGCCCCGGAGCCCGAGTGGAGGGCGGGGGGCAGCGTCGTCATGGAAATGCGGAGCGGTTCGGAGCAGAAGCGACTTTAAAGTTCACCCAGTTCCAACCCTGACACCTCCCGCTATCCCAGGTTGCTCCAAGCCCCGTCCAACCTGCCCTTGGACACTTCCAGGAATGGGGCAGCCACAGCTTCTCCGGGCTTTCCATCTCACCCCCTCACAGCCAATAATTCCTTCCCAATATCCCATCTAACCCTGTCCTCGGTCAGTTTCAAGCCCCCCTTGTGCAAAGTCCTCTCCAGCTCTCCTGGAGCCCCTTTAGGAACTGGAAGGGGCTCTCAGGTCTCCCTGAGCCCTTCTCAAGGAGAACACCCCCAGCTCTCGCAGCCTGTCTCCAGAGCAGAGGGGCTCAAGCCCTCAGAGCTCCTCTGTGGCCTGAGAACCCAACACATTCCAGCTGCCTCCTCATCCTTAAAGTGTGAGGTTCAGCTTTTGGAGTTTTTTATTACATGTGACTTTCTTCCAGGAGCTGGACTTTGATCAACTTTATGGGTCCCTTCCAACTCAAGATATGATTCTATGATTCTTTGTTTTGTAAGGGCACTGAAAGGGCATTTCACTGGCACCTTGCAGGATACGTCAACCGCCTTCTTTGGCACCGTAAACCTATTAATTAGTTTATTCAGCAACCCTGTAACCTGCAACCACTCAAGGGTGTTGCAGTTCCCAGGAGAAAGGCTGCGCAAGCCTTGCCTGGGATGCAGCAGCTGACAACAGAGGAGGGTTACCTCTAGCGTTCCCACTTGATCTGCAATCCATCTTTAGATCCAGTTCCCATTACAACAAACTTCTGAGGAAAGCTGCCGGTACCATTCTCTACAAGCAGCACCAAACAGGTGGCTGTTAATCAATTCCAGGTAGCTGGAATTTCCCTGTACACTTCAGTTTTTAACCAAGGCACTATCAGAAAAGACACACTGAATTTAAGATGAACATCACCAGTTTTCCAATTCCAGCTTTTATTTTTTTTTGCTCAAGCAAACAATTTTTTAAACTAAACCGAAATCTAGGGAGAGAGAAGAGCAGCAGCTCCTGCCTCATCTACAGAGATACAGCTCAAGGAAGAAGGTTTCATCTCTATTTCCAAACCTTTCTGCTTGCAGGTTTCCTTGGAGATCCTAAGTTTTATGCAATCTCTGTCATACATACAGTATTTTTAGGTTTTGTTTTTTACTGTTACAGTGAGATCTGGATTTGGCAGTTTTCCCCAAAGCTGAAACCTGTGAGCAAGATGAGCTTCCACCAAGCACTGCTGACGTAGGTTTTATCCCCTTGGAAGGAGGGGAGCTGTTCCTGTCAGATCTGACAGAGTGAACAGCCCCTCACATTTAACCACACCCAGCACACAGGTATTCAGCTCCAAACAGAGGCAGGATTATTTAATTCTGAATTAATCAAGCTTTTTAGGCAGAGGGATTTACTCTGTTCTGCTGACTTCACTGTGGTCAATGGATAGTGTCACTTCAGACCACAGCAAACACCTGCTCAACACTCTGCACTCTCCATCCACCGTGGGCTGAACAGGGTGACCAAAATACCTCAGAACTGGTCCAACTCTTTTACACTGTTCATTGTGGAAAAAAAAAAAAAAAAAAAGACATGTACAACCACTTTACTTTCTGCAACCACTCAGTGCTGCAGCGAGTCCTGTGACCTCCACTGAGCGCTCAACTCCGCCAGCTCATTGTCACTAAGAACCAAACTCAACAGCTCAAAGAAACCATGAAGACCTTCTCAAGGCAATTAAGAACATGGTTCAGACATCACCTACCACCCCTCCAGGGAAGGAGGAATGCGAAACCAGGTCACTCTGTGACTGGGGAAGGATCCCCATCCTCTGGCAGCACCTCAGGCTGGCACTGAGGACACCACCACGTAAGTCTCTTAAAGCCACCCAGTGGTCCAAAAGCTCCCTTCCTCACTGGATGGCCGAGGGGACACTGCTCCCTCTGGTAGATCTGCGGGTGCAGCCCTTGGCCACGGAGCTTGTGGTGCAGCCAGTCAGAGCTGAACTGAAGGGCACAGTCCAGCAGACGCTCCAGATCCGAGGGAGCCAAGAGAGAGCCTTGTGTTAGTGGGTGGATCTTGGCCAGGTACAAAATCTCATTCTTAATGATGTTCCCTGGAAAGGGACAGAAACAAGGGCACAATAAGGGTCTTTCTAATCAAGATAATGCAGACTTCTGGCTCCGATCTGTGATTTCTCCCTCAAGGATCACAGCCAACAACGTCATTCCCTGTATCAGAGGGGGCAGGCCAAGAGTAGACTTAGAGCTGGGATTGGACTGGACAGGGTTCTCTTCCCACTACCCTTGAAGCAGAACTCTAAGATGACCATGAACCCTCAGCTGGATGAACCAGAAGCCACCAGGCTAAAACACTCAGACATGAAGCTCTGAATCTGCAGACATCCAACCCACCTTCCTCCATTTCTTGCTCTGCCAAGTATTCCCTGGAACTCACCCAGCCCTGAAAAGTATCTTTGGTCTAAGAGGGTATAGCAGATGGGATTGGGTGCACGGAGGGCATCCAGTGCCCGGCCACGGTGGAACTCCATGGACAGGATGTCAGAAGCAGGATCAGCCGCTGGAGAGGAGCACCAGTGCATTCTGCAGTTGTAGAAAGCGAGGAAGCCTCCACTCTCAAAGTGGAGAATCAGTCTGGGAGAAGCAGAAAAGCAGGAGTCTCCCATCAGAAACATCCCTGAACCATTTGTCGTGTTCTGCACTAGGCCACTGTCTCAAGATAAGGGGGCCTCTTCAGTGGTTTCAGCCGCAAAACCTGGTGGTGAGCAACTCTCCACAGGTTGTGTGGATTCATTCTCCTGCCCTGTGGTCCCTGGATGACCAAGGCTCCAGCAGTAGGGTCCACAGATCAGGGAAACCAATGACAAAAGTAGCACAGAAAACTGTGTCTAAAAATACTTGCACAGAAATGAAGTAATCCTTTAAAAGACTGCAGGATGGGGTGCATGGAATGTGTCCCTAACAAGTACAGTGCTTCCAGCTGCCCTAGACGTTTGCCATTCATCCAAGGCTTTTTTTAAACACTTAACTGGGAGAAACTGGCATTTCCAGGGCATGATTCAGCCTGGCATTCTAAAACTTCTCTAAGAGAAAAATGTTAACAGAGCTGGTACCATGATCCCCAAGCTGGCAGGCAACACGCATCCCACAGTTCCACTGCAGAGTGAACACATCCCACACCCACTCAACACCATCTCTCATGCCTCCTTATCTCAGGAATTATCAGGGAAAAATCAAGGCTACAAGCATCCCCACACAAATTTAGTTTGGATAGAAGAATACCTCTCCAGCATGAGAGGCGGAAAGAGAAAGGGATCCACAAAATACCTGGGAACAGGGTCCTTCCAGTCCCCCCTTCTATTGGCTCTGCTTGCTCTGGAGAACTCGTTTGCCCGGACGCTGCCGAACAAGCCAAAGTGGAAGCGCAGCCATTTGCCCGGACCTTCAGACCTCGAGTGCTGGAGTTCCTGCAGCTCCTCATCCTAGGGATGGGGATGTGGAGCACACACTTGTTCTTCCCTTCCCTGGACAGGAGAACACACCACAGGAGCAGCCTCTTTCTCCAGCACTGTCTCTTCTGCAGTTGGTCCTGAGGGACCTTCAGCTGCCACAAATGCCAGGTACAAGTTCTTCCCATGAACCTGAGGGAAGAGCTGGGTGGTACCAAGGGTCCATATAGGATCACAGAATCACACGCTGCTTTGGGTTGGAAGGGACTTTAAAGATAATCTCATTCCAACTCCCTGCCATGGGCAGGGACATCTTCCACTAGATCAGGTTGTTCAGGCCTCATCCAACCTGACTTTGAAAACTTCCAGGGATACACTGGGGATATAGAGAAGAACACTTCTTCTGGTTGCTTCCATACAAGTGACTATTTTCTACAGCCTCTTTTAGATAGAGGGCACATCACCCCACCCTGAACACAGAATTCATCACCATACAAGCCATTCCCATCAGGGCTGCCAGGGATCCTCTCAGCATTCCTTAATAAGAACAAGGTATTTAGATGCCACTCCAACGTAAATCTCCCCACTGAGGCTTCTGTCAGGCCAAAGAGACAGACCAGGACAGACACTCAGGGTTCTGAAATCTGTCATTATTGTTTCTGATTCACCTCACCGCTTTTTGCTGGGGGCACTCTGTGCTTCTCATTTTGCTCCCCACTTTTAATCCTAGCTGGGGCTGCACCAGCATTTGGCCAGTCAGGTCCAAATCATCATCTGGGGGATGTCAGGCAAGTGAAACCTCCAGCAGGACCAACCCAGTGTGACCATCCCATATGTGTGTCCACAGCACAGACATCTCGGCTTAGCCAGGGGAAACCCTGAGGGAAACACTCCCAGGTTCTGCACCTTCTGTGACCCAGTTGCAGGACAAGGATGGTTTCCCTCAGACTTGTCATAGATCAGTGACCTCATCCTTTAGCACAGCTCACCTGGGAGTCCTGGAGCCTCAGGGCATTCAGGTCATTCACGTTGATCTTCCGGCTGCTTCCCCCCACCTTGGCCACCACTTGTCCCACAAAAGGGGAGGTCAGCAGCTGGAACGTCCTCACTGATGGGCCCTCTGGCATCTCCAGCAGCTGTTGAGGGATTAGCAGGTTTTTCTCACACTCTTCCCTAAAATTGAAGGGAAGTTGCCACTCAGAAATACACAAAACCAGGCAGAGACAGAGCTCACCACTGTCTCCTCACCCCTATCTTCTTCCTTAAGT